GATATAATTTCTCTTCAACTTTGTACCCCCAAAGTTGTTGGTGTATAATTCAAGTTATACATAGTATATAATCTATATCTAAAATAAATTAAATAAATTACATACTGATTATTCAGTGTTTATCATAAAATAATATATATATTTTAAATATCACGTACCCCCTAAGATGTCTTCGCGTACCCCCGGGGGTATCTCAAAGAAGAAACAACACTTCACCATTACAAAGATCATCTGGATAATACTGTTAAAGGAAATCATTTCTGTTTGCACCGAGAATCATACGAAACCATGTAAATTACAAAAAGAAAGAGTTGTTGATTATTGAAGTAGGTGGTACGTAAAGTTACCCCTAGGCTTTTAAGGGTTTAAAGAGTTGTTGATTATAGAAGTAGGTGGTACATAAAGTTACCCCTAGGCTTTTAAGGGTTGATTATACATCACAGCGATCTTCTGTTTCGATAGATGAAGTTTTCGCCAATTGTTTTTATATTCGGCGAATATATTGTTCCTCGTGGTTCATAGGTGCACCGTTCTGCCTACCAAGCGGCGCTGACATTATATTCCGGCGTCTGAATTTCATATGACGCCACGAAACGACTGTTTATTGTCGACTGAGTACTGTTTGGCTTCCTCGAATGGCTTTGCTTTCGTACGTAGTTAAACGAGTGTTGGCCGTGTGATACAAAGGTATTTTGTGGGGCACACTGACATTATGGCGTCTCATTCTTTGTTTTCCTAGTAAAACAATTGAAATAGGTTAACAAATGAGGGCAGTTTGCATAAACGAAGCGATTGTCTGGGTAATGATTACAGAGGTTTTAATTAAATCTCTTTGAACTGTGGTCTGTGGGCTTCGTGGTGCAAATGCAACACAAAATACACTTCCGTCTACGAGTCTGAATGTTTGTTCGAGATTAAATAGACCTTGAAATAAACGTTATGTTGACGTCTACTTATTAACTTGTATTCAAAGCGAGTCACCAAACTCTCGAGAGATTAATTTGCATATTACATCTCTCATCCACTGCCTGTAACGTCGACGGAAATTATAAATAGGTATTACACAGTTTATGCGATATGTTTCAGCGTTTATTTTGACTGGAAAAATATGGGTACGTCGGGTTACAGAAAGAGATGTCTCTGGTGACTTACTAACTTGCGGGCTACTCCAGCTTGCATTTTATCGTCACGGCTGGAGGGCCGTGTTGTGGGGTAGAACACGGCCGCCGATGTTGTGCCTATTTTTAGGGTTTCAGGATCTTTGTTTTGGGGTAGAAGTTCCCGTTCTCCATGCAGTCGAATTCTTCCTTGGTGATTCCTGTGTAACTCCGAACTACCGACAAGTTTCTGGTCCTATTGGCGTTGGATTTCTTATGGACTTAAGATGTAGACTCATCTCTATAAGAGGTCTTATTTATGTATGCTTACGATACCTACAGTTCATGTTTATTGCTCGAGACGTCTGTGCTACACTCTGTCCCGTAAACTGGCAGACATACGAGTATGTAGATGTACATGGCACAGCGGTGCGCTTGAGAGATGTACGTCGCATCCAACTTAAGAAACCTCCCGTCCACCATCATGGCTACCAGACCTCACGGCGCCACAACCCAGACTTTAACCATCTTCTGACACACCGCCTTGAGAACCTCAGATCCTACCAAGTTACTACACATACGAATTCCGGAAACTAGTTATCCGCCTCTCTCGTATGTGTGTACAGGGAATGAAGGTTAATATTTCTTGAAATCCTGACGTGGAGAGGGTAAAATCCCGAAATAGTATGATGCATTATTAATATTACAACCAGAGCTGGTAACGTCGTCTTACTCACACTTTAATTAAGTAATCAACGGGTGTTTATGCAGTGACAGTGGGATGCCTTTGCGAAGAACTCAAATTGAAAGGGCACAACGCTTAAACAGGGATGTCCGTGGCAATTTCTTTCTTGTTTTTGCGTGTATTTTCATGACTGTTATAATTTGTTTGATTTGTGAGATTCGGCTGGTACGAATTCATATTTTCAGATATTCATTTGTTACTGTGCTGAAACCGGAAGGGCTCTTTATTCTTAGCGCGATGAGGAAAATAAGAAGAAGAATTATTAAACGGGATAGAGAAAGAAATTAAGTAGCTTTTCGTATAAATTGCTTTAATTTGAAGGCAGGAATGACTTTTCTAAAGCGATGTTCACCCTCCTCTGGTTGCTGTCAGTTTGTATTGCGTTTTGAGTGAGCATACGCGTCTCCAGCCGAAAACATTTTAACGAGCGTCGTATCTGTCCGTTCGCTTGGTTACGGACGCCAATGTGTTTATAATCGATCGCTTGTTGTGTAATCTAGCCCCATCTTGACGGGCTTGCAAGTTTGTGAGGTGCAGACTATACTAGTGTTATTTCTAAGCAGGGTCTTGATATTTATTGTATTGCAATAGTTTCATAAATAATATAGAACATTCACTGAAGTAATATTTAGGTAGATTTCTGTCTTCTGG